AAAAAAAAAAAAAAAGTTTCAACACAGCATGTTAAAATCTCAGCTCTGTGCAACAAAGAGGGCTGGCCTCCTGGGTGCACAGATGTTTGAGTCACACTCAAATCCTGAGAACTGTCTGTTCCCTCCCGTCCTACAGACACCACCTCATCCAGACCTTGGCGCCTCATCCAAGCTCTGAGATGGAGCAAAGGGAACGCATGCATACTGGTCACAGTAAACAGCCAGAGAGCACATGGGGACAGAACACTGACTGGTACAGTTGGTTTCTGTTTTAACTCAGACAGACACACATGTCCCACTCAGTGTATTAGCCTGTAGACCTGGGAATCTCCATGAATCTTTGAGCTTCAATTCTTGGAACCTGGGGGCTGGATGTATGTATGTATGCATGTATGCATGCATGTATGTATATATGTATGCATGTATATCTCGGGCTTGGGATAAATCTGGGTTGAGTACTTGCTGAGCATGCATGAGGCCATGGGTTCCATTCCCAGTATTGATACACTGGGCCTGGCGGTGCATGCATACAATCCCAGTAGGGTAGAAATAGGAGGATAAGAAGTTCAAGGTCACACTTGACTACATAGTGATTTTGAGGCCAGCCTATGATACATGATACCCTGTCTCAAAAAAGTCAAATATTTTGGATATAATATACCAATGTGAAGTGGGAGGTAACATGTCAAAAATTTTGTTCTTCATGACTGGCCCAGCATCTTCATTAACAACATCAATCAAGAACATAATAAGCTTAATGAATCAATAAAATTTCAGTAAGTCTAAAAAGCTATGCTTCAGCTTGTGGCTTACTAAAATAAGTGGCATGGCGCCAAGTGGAATTTCCTTTCTGATATAACTCAGGTAGAATTCAGTCTAAGGCAGCAAAGAGCATGAAAGTACTTCACCATGAAACAGAAAGCTTAGATGGATGAACTGATGCATTGCTAGCATGCACTAGTATATGCATTACAAGAACATGTTTGCTCCTGGCAGCCGTGACCATCTAAACAGGCAGAGGGCAGGGCTTCTTCTAATCCCCCTTGTAGTCTGCCCCTAGCAGCAGAAACTGGTGTCTGCTTCCCCACCAGGATCAAAACCCGTAATTATGCCTTTCCTACAGAGGTAGTCACCCCAGGAAAATTTCTTACAGAACTTACCCACGCATATTCCCCCGTCTGAAAAGTGGTAGCCCTCCACGCACTCACAGCGGTAGGCTCCTGGGTAATTGTTGCAGATCCACGCATATTCCCCCGTCTGAAAAGTGGTAGCCCTCCACGCACTCACAGAGGTAGGCTCCTGGGGAATTGTTGCAGGCTGCATGGTTTCCACACCTGGAAGGTTGCTCTGAACATTCATCAATATCTGCAGCAAATTGTTGATTAAAAAAAGGCAGACTTTTTAAACCTCATGAAACATAATCAAAGAGAAAGCATTTTCCACAGAGAAGAGATCCTTTTGAAGACAGATGTTTCTACATGCCCAAAGTAATATGAAATAGGAATTGTTTTTTGCCCTTTACATAACGTAGAGTGCGATTCAGTTAATTTTTTTCTGAGTGATATGTGCTTCCTTCTGAGTGAGTAACCAAAGGGAAACCGATCCAAACAAGCCACTCAGACTGGATTGGCAAAACACATTAGAAGATATAGAGAACTGCTCCTACAGAGGATCCAGGTTTAGTCCCCATAGTATAAGTAAGTAAATCTTTAAAATAAACTACCTTCCAACAGTTATGACTATAAAGAAAGGCTACACAAATTATAGCCAATTGAGAATTTGTGAATGTTACCTAGGATTTAGTAGACTCAAAGGCTGGGGTTGAATAGTACTAGGTTCAAATCCTGCCTCCTTTTATTACTGACTTGTGTTGTCTGGGCAGCTTAACTGTTTAGCCTCAGTTTCCCCATTAGTAAGTAAGTACAATAATATTCATTGGTGCATTCCTTTGGGAATTAGAGAAAATGGATGTGGGCCAAGGGAGTATGCAGCACACTCAAGACATGCAGTCATGATTATAATCATCACTCATCTATTGTATAGCCCTAGTGCATTTTGGGAAGACAGCTTTCAGACTGCCACCAGACTTTGAAGGCCATCTATGGCTACCGGTTTGTTGGCCTGGATGAAAAGCAGTGCTGATCCCTCATTACTCTATCAGTCCCATGACAGGTTGACATGTAGTCACATAAGTTACTTCCTGTACTGGCCCCATACTCAGAGGGTTCATAGTCTTTCCTGAGATAGGTATGCAAATGACTGGTACTATTTAACCCTCTTCCCTTTCAAGTTCCCTAATGTGAACTGTTCACACCCAGAAAGCAAAGTATCCCAGATCCACCTTTGATGGATAGCTTATCTGGTACCCTTCCTTTTTTGTAAAAAAATAAATAAATAAAAAATAAAAAGTCTGCTGACTTACTGGACAACATTGAATAAAACAAGCATTTTGCAACATTAGCTCTGTAGTTTGTCCTATACTTTCACAAAACAGATGCTATTCAATTTTTAAAAAACTGTGTGCGTGTGCGTGTGTGTGTGTGTGTGTGTGTGTGTGTGTGTGTGCGCAGTTTAAGATTCAAGATCTCAGACAAGTGGACCTTGCTAGGAACAGCTGGAGGGGTAGAAGGTGGCATGTGTGGGAACTGGGACTGAGGTGGGGGTCACATAAGCCCATCTGTCAGCTGCTGCTCCCACAGGGCGGAGCACAGTCTCTCATGCCTAACACCTGTGCTCTTTACTCTTCTCAGAACTCTCACAGCAGGTGGCAGGACCCCAGTGCTGGCCTGCATTCTGAAGGCTCCCACCCAACAGAGCACCAGAGCAGAGCAGCAGTTTTCCATCTAAAAGCCAGGGCCAAGTCAGAAGGGAACTTGTCCAAGCCCCTTCCTTGCTAGGAACATTTACGGGGGTGGGGAAGATACGTTGTGCAAAGGCTGCAGAGGCCACAGCAGGCCAATAGGACCTGGGCATAGTGGGGTCAGGGAGGACAGCTTTACATCATCAGGTCTGTAAGGAGAAGCCAGGCTAGACACCACTGTTTTTTTTTTTTAGGGACAAGACCCTCCCTATGTCCCCACTAAGATCCCATGGTCTTTGAAGTTTTCCTCATGTTTGATTTAAATCTCTTCTGTTGACTTAGTCCAAGTCCTTAACCCTTTCTTTAATGGAAATAGTAACCTGGTTGCTATGGTGATTGTCTATCATAGCACCCTACAACATTGGCTTAAAGAGGATTTTTCCACATCTGGTTAACTTCCTCTCTGAAAAGAGGAGAACCCCTTTTTAGCTCAACAAGAAAACCATGGATTATTCATTTTTATTTTTTAAAAAGGTTTTTTTTGTTGTTGGGTTTTTTGTTTTGGTTTGGTTTGGTTTGGTTTGGTTTTGGTTTTTGAAACCAGGTATCTTCATGTAGCCCAAGCTGGCCTCAAGCTCACAATTCTCTTGCTTCCACTACTGGGTTTGTTCCACATACTCAGTTTGGAATTACTTTTTAAAATTATTGTTGCGTGTGGTGTGTATGTATGTATGTATGTATGTGGGAGCACACATGACACTGCATGCATGTGGAGTTCAGAGAACAACTTTGAGGAGTCAGCTGAAGCAGGATCTCTGTTGTTTCTGCTGTGCCGTGTCCTCCAGGCTAGCCTGCCCTAGGGCTTCCTAGAGGGTCTCCTGTCTGTGCCTCCCTCCCATCTTGCCATATGAGGGTTGGGATTACAGGTTCGTGCCACCACATCTAGATTTTGACATTGGTTTTAGGACTTGAACTTGGGTTGTCAGACTTGTGCAGCAGCCATCTCACCAGGCCTAGGTGAATCCTTTGACTTTCCCCCACAGTGACTAGCTTTGGTACATTTTCAATATCTCTGCAAATTACTTCTTTTATAAATGCCAGGCCCTTTGAGGAGGTTATCAATATGTGGAATGCTTCCTAGAAACTCAGAAATTATTCATTGAAATGTTAACTGACACTGCTACTCTAGATTACAGTGTGAGGGATTACAGTGTGAGGGATTACAGTGTAGGCGCCATTGTGCTGTGAACCCCAGGTGAATTGCTAAGCTCTGAGAGTCTCTGAAAATCTCTTCCTGATTTCCTAGGGAAGCTCACTTGGAGACAGTAGCCCCAAACAGCCTCACTTTGCCTGTCATGGATCATCATATCCCACCACAGACTTGAATCACCCAGGTTCACCCTAGGTCCCCTCTCAGGAGCCTCCCCAGGTTCAAACAGCTCACAAAGCCGGATGCTTAATGCAATTTCCTATCAAAAGCCTCATGTCCAGATACATTAACACTGATGCTTGTTCTGGTAACTCAGAACAATAAGGAGCCTGACTCAGGACATCCCCACATTCCACCAGGCTAATACTCCAGAATGATGACCGACCAAGGACAAAAGCAAGTGCATGAGTGGCCACCCATCTTCCTGGACAAGGCTGGACAAGGATTTCCGGGGACAGTTGCAGAATGCATAAAGCACAGGGCAGTGGCGGGGGGGGGGGGGGGGGGCAGTTCTCTTCAGAGAAGCACTCCCTGGGACAAGCTCAGACACCAAGAGCAGCGTGAGAAGGTTACAGTAAGCAGCAGCAGACACGTGGACACATGTGATGGTTAACATTGACGATCAGCTAGACTGGATTCAGGTCTCCAGGCATGGCTGTGAGGGAGTTTCTACATTAGGTTCATTGGGGTGGGAAAACTTATTCTAACTATCCACAGTATCCACAGTACCATCCCATGAGCTGGGGTCCTAGACAAAAAAGAAAAAGAAAGAAAGAAAGAAAGAAAGGAAGGAAGGAAGGAAGGAAGGAAGAAAGAAAGCTAGCTGAGAACCAGAGTTCATCTCTCTCTCCCTGTTTACTGACACTAATGTGGGCAGCTGCCTCAATCTCCTGCTGCCATGCTTTCCCAGCCATGATAGACTGTACCTTCAAATTATGAACCAAGAATAAACCTTTACTTCCTTAGTTACTTTACCAGATATTTTGTCATGGCAACAGGAAAAGCATCTATAATGCTTCATCAATATGTAGGTAGCTGGTGACATTATATACAGAGTGAGAAGTATGGAGACCTAAAGGAATCCCTCATCTCCACCCCCACCTTCACCTTCATGACAGCCTTCCGCTCACATAAGATAGCACTGTGCTGCTTGGAACTGTCCTGAGCCAACACAGCCATTCATGAAAGGGAAGGACTGGCCACTGACAGTCATAGGCTGGTCAGTTCTGTGTCCCTTCTACCACGCTCAATGACCAGGTAGGTGAGTACCAGATTGAATAGTACCAGATACACAGTTATCAGCATTACATCACCCATATGTAAGCACAAACCCTGCTTGCCAGTGTTTCAGAGCACCATGAGCAAGCAGCCTGCAGGGAAGGGTCTCTCTTAAGCAACAACCCCCCCCCCATGCCCTACATCAGGATCTACACACCAGATCTGCCTCTCGGTAGGATTCCAGACCTAATGCACGATTCCCAAACCTCAAGCATTTGGCTTTCCAGGGCTTGTTCCCTAATGATGCAAGGATGAAGTTAGCAGTCCATTTTGCTGGGTGGATACTTGTGAGTACACCCTTCATTTACCAGGGAAAACTACATCTAATATTCCTTCTCATTAGTGAGTGCTTCAGTGCAGGCTTAAGTGGCACTGGTTAAGTCCCTGACACTCTTACCCTTAGCAATGAACAAACTGTTCTTTGTAATAGATTAAAATTCACTTACCAACAAATATCAAGCTGTCTACATGAAAGTCTTGGATGTTAAATTTTAAATAATAAAACAAATGATGCCAGAAGGCAGTTCACTACAGACAGTCCAGTAAGAGACTTGTGTTACTCACTGGCTCACTTTAGTGAGCTCACATTAATGTCCCTGACTCACATAATGAGCCTCAGTTACTATTAATTAAAGAAAAGCAGTAGAAACCTCAAGTGCTAACAAAGCTATAGAAAAGTTGGAGCTGGGGAACCAAAGCAGGCAGCAAAGCATTTGCCATGGCAGCATGAGAATCTGAGTGACATCCCTAGAGCCCACACAGAAAGCAGGCCATTGAGGTACACACTTGTAAACCTAGCAATGGATGAACAGAGATGGGACTCCTGGGACTTGTAGTATACTGAGTGAGCTCCTGGTCAATAAGAGGGCCTGTTTCAAAAGAAGTAAAAAGAGTTCCTAACAAATGACACCTGAGATGCCCTCTGGCCTCTATACACATGCAGTACACCACCCCCATGTGTGTTTGTTTATACAAAAAAATTGTGGAGAAAATTGAAACTCCTGCACACTGTTGGTAGAAATGTAAAACGGTATAGCTGTTATAGAAAACAGCATGAAGGGTCTCCAAAATTAAGCATAAAATGATCTACCAGACTTACTTTGGGGCTATCCAAAAACAAAAACTGAAAGCAGGAGCTTTCAATAGAAGCCCTGTTTATCACACCCTTGACTGCAGTATCAAAAGGTGGATGCAGGGGCTGGAGAGATAGCTCAGTGGTTAAGAGCATCAACTGCTCTTCCAGAGGACCTGAGTTCAGTTCCCAGCAACCACATGGTGGCTCACAACCGTCTGTTACGAGATCTGGTGCCTTCTTCTGGTGTGCAGATATACATAGAAGCAGAATGTTGTATACATAATAAATAAATAAAATCTTTAAAAAAAAAAAAAGGGTGGATGTAGTATGTCCACTCACAAGGGACTACCAGCAGGTTCCACAAAGCATAAAGCATAGTTGGCTGTGCCTTCTGAAGGAATGTGCTCCCTTCATCTGAATGGATAGAAAAGCAAAAAAAAAAAGAAAAGTGTGTGTGTATATGTATATATGTGCATATATCATGCAGTACATAATATAATGTAGTAATGTTCAGCCTTCAAAGAAAAAAAAACATTGTAACATATGTCATGACATGGATGAATCTTAAGGAGAGATTTGCTCAAGATTTAAGATTGTGGTAGTGGCTTACTTCCTATAGCATACACAATCTTAAATCTTGAGCAAAAAAGCCAGTGACAAAAGGATAAATACTGTGTGATTCCACAAACATAAGGTTCTAGAGCCAATAGGTTCATAGAAACATAACATCAAATGGCGGGACACAGGAGTTGGGGATGAAGACATGCAACATGGTACTGGGAGTGTGGTCTAATAAACACAAACACAATTTGTTGTACAAGATGAAAAGGATCCTAGCAAAGGGTGATAGTAACAACTTCACAACAGTGTGAATGTGTTTAATAACAATGAACTACACAATTAAAGATAGTTTAAAACAGCCAGGCAGTATACACACCACCCATCACTTGGGCGGCAGAGGCTGGGTGGTCTTGAGTTTGAGGCCATCCTGAGATTCTCAAGGAGACCCTGTTTTAAAACAGAAACAAAACCAAAACAAGGTATGCCTTTCATGGTATGTTTGTATGTCACACATTCAACATACTCATTCCTGTGATATACACTCAGCTTCCTGGCTTACAGAACCTGGATGTTCCCTCCTAGACCAATAGCCCAGAACCCCACACTTCAGACCAAAAAACAATACCGTAGCAAGTCTGCCCATCTCCTCGGAAGCCAATGGAGCATTCGCAGGTGAACTGTGTTCCAGGGCCAGGGCGACAGGCTGCATTGCTGTCACACCCGTGAGTGCCAATGTAGCATGGATTCTGAAGAGCATCGGGGGAGCCCTCTGTGAAGGTAGAGACAATATTCAAAAACCTTCCAGCAGCCCTCCTGACACAAGAAGTAAGCTGCTATCACAAGAGAACAGAACAATGGGACCAGAGCCTTGTATGCTGCACTACAGTGGGACCACCAAGCTCTACCCCTCTAACCCCGATCTCTGTTTCTATAAATTGTGTTACTGACAATAAGCCACACTCCTCTATGGTAGAAAATGAGATGTCTGTGGCTGGCTAAGACCAGAAAAACGACAACAAAACTCTGTGTGTGTGTGTGTGTGTGTGTGTGTGTGTGTGTGTGTGTGTGTGTGTGTGTGTGTTTAAATGTGAAAAGTCCCTCAGTTGGTGGTGATATTTGGGGTGGAACCTTTGGGAGGTGGAACCTTGCTGGAAGAAGTAAGTTACATGGTGTGTGGTGGGGGAGCTTTGAGAGTTCACTCTTTCTGCTGCATGTTTGCGGCTGAAGATGTAATCTCTTAGCTTCATGCTCCAGCCACCTACCTGTTGCTCTGCCTTCCCCACCATTATGGATTACTCTTCTGGAACCCTAAGTTTTACTAAGGTAAAACTGTTGATTCTGGTCCTGGCATTTCACACAGAAACAGAAAAGGAACTAATGCATACATCCTGTAGAATTCTATTTAGCTGTGAGAAGAGGTGGCACCCTTTGAATGTGGGTACATGGGAGAGTCTGGAGATCATTATGTTGAGACCCAGAAAGACAAATCCTGGCTTCCACAGGTGAGGGAGGATGGAAGGGATGGGGAGGCGGTGAGAGGATGTTGAGCAGGTACCAGGATGGTGCAGATGGATGGAAAGAATAAGGTCTAATGACAACAATTAATTACACATGTCAAAATAGCTAGTAAAGATTTAGAATGTTCTCAACACTGAGAAATGAGACATGTTTGGGGATGGACATGCCCATTGCCCTCACCTAATCCCTACACCCTGGATACACCTGCTGAAATTAGTTAGTTCATATCCCACAATACAAACAATTTTTAACGTGGTCCTTTTAAAAAGTAGAGGGTTTTTTTTGTTGTTGGTTTTTTTGGTTTTTTTGTTTTTTGTTTTTTGTTTTTTTTAATGTTTACTAGAGTCCGAAGTAGCCTTTGGCTGGCTGGCTCTGAGAGGAAACTCATCAGGATAGCCTTCTGCCCTGAAAGCTCATGAATAAAGAGCCCAGACACCCTCATGAATAGGCCTTTGGTTGAAAGAACAAAGGCAGGTCTATTTGCCAAGAGTGATGACCACACTTTCACAGGATATCTGACGGTCATTTTCTTCTATAGACTGAGAGCAGGAGACCAAAATCCCAAATCCAAGGAGCAGAGATTTTGACAAGTATGAGTGCAGAGTGCAGGAAGCACACAGGGGGCCGTCCACCTTACCCCTCACAGGCCCGATGGAATTGCTGAGGGCATAGCGCAAGATCCTTTCCTCCTGGTTGTACAGGACAAACACACTGTCCACGGAGAGCTGCTGGGTACTGGGCAGGGCTGGCCTGGAGTCATCATGGACACACTCCTGGAAGGTGATGGTCTGACGCCACTGGTAAACATGGGTGTGTGAGGGTGCAGTGCCGTCCGGATCAGGCTCAGTCACCGTGTACTCCCGGGTGGAGGAGGAAGTGATCACTGAAGCGTGGGAGGAAGACAGGAGCTTCAACAAAGGCTTTGGGGGCATCGGTAGCAGTCCCTACCCACAATGCAATCAGATGACAGGCCTGCTGGAACAACCCACATACGACCATTTGTTGTGCTTACATTCCTGTTGCTTTCTCCTCTCCCATAGATAGCATCAGTGGAGGCACTCACGTACTTGCTGACTCATGCTAAAGCTTTCTATAAGCTCCCAAGACACCGAAAACTAGAGATGAGGCCCAGCAGGAAAAAACACGGCTCAGAAGGAGACACACCTGGACCCACGCCCCTCAGCTGAGGCTGTAACCACCAACCTGGTGCTAGCTGCTTTTGCCTCACTTCTCTTTCAGAAGGAGCTAGGGTGAGAATCTGAGGAGACCACATTTGTAAATTACACGGAATCAAGCATTTACTACTACAACAGTGGCATTTGAACCGGGTTCCATAGGATTTCTCATTTAGGAATCAATAAATAGTGGCTGCTCCCAGCCACCTTAGATTAGATAGTATTAAAAGCTATGATAGGGAACGTTTTTTTTGTAGCAGCCAACTGTGGAAAAATCATCAAGAGTGATAGCAGCCAAGGAGAGAGTAGACAGTCTCCCCCACCCAGAAGAGAGTGGGAATTAGCCCAGGCAACAAAGCCCTCCACCTCCCATTTTGTTTTCTTAAAGCATAAAAGACCCTTTTTATTTCTGAGTTCTGCTGCAGCCTGCTCCATATGAGAACCATGAAAGCCAGAGGATAAATAAAAGATCAGTGTGCATTGTCTCCCATCCAGCTCCCATATGCTGGCTGCCAGCAAGCCATCTGGCTGCAGGCAGTCTAGGGCCCTTGGCCCCATTTCTTCTTCCTTCCACAGGCTCTCAGCACTGGCCATGGGTACCACCTTCCTGGATCATGCTTTCTTTAACAACAGCATTTTTAAAGCTCATATTGTTTGACTCAGCATCTGTTTCTAGGAACTGAGTCTCAGAAAAGGGTCAGACCAGCTACTTGGCAAGCTGAGGCAGGGGGATTGCAAGTTCAAGGGCTGTTTGAGCTACAGAAATGAGTTCAAGTTCAGTCTAGGTAACTTATGGATACTAAACAACAAAACCAACAAAAATCAAAGAAGGGCTGAGGGTGTATCGATGAGAGTGTAGCTTAGTGGTCGGCCATTAGTCTACTATGCAAACAACCCAGTGTTCTGTTCCCAGTATTGCAAGATTCAGACATTTGGCCAAGACCTTGGGATGTAGCTCAGCACTGCAGCGTTTGCTGAGGTTCTCAGTTCAGTCCCTGGCAGCATAAACAAACAACCAAACGGAAATGTGACCAAGTTTCACGATGCAAGAGGTCATTTCAACTCAGCATGAGACGGGGAAACTAGTGTAATTTACACTTCTGAGAGTAGAAGGACCACCCAGCAGAATGGGGACAGATTCCTTGAAAAGCCACTTAATGAAACTAGTAAATATTCATGATTTGATGTTAATTAAAAAGTAAAGATATTAACGAAGTAGTACAATTGGTTAATGCAGTACAAATGAAATGACATGTCAAAGATTACTCACTGTTTTTTCTACATTAAATATCCAGAAGCCTGGTATGATAGCTCATACCTGTAATCCCAGCACTTGGGAGGCAGAGGCAAGAGGATGGCCTTTAATTGGAGACAAGTTAGGCCTACACAGCTTTGAAAATAATCCTGACTTCTTTATAGTTAAGATGTGACCAAGTAAGAAAATGCCCTTATTCTTGGGAAAGAAATATCTGAAGCACTGAAGGGATGACCTGCAAGGACATTACTTCTCAACAGTTAGGAAGAAGTTTATATGTGTGTTAGAACACCGGTGGCAAATGTTAGCTCCTAGGAAGAAGTGTGTGCATGTGTTAGAACACTGGTGGCAAATGTTAGCTCCTAGGAAGAAGTGTGTGTGTGTTAGAACACCGGTGGCAAGCTGAGTAAGTGGCAGGTAGACGCTCTTGCCACTCTTTTCAGTACAAGCAGGTTTCAGAAGGAGAATAAGTGTAAAAAAAATACAAATAAATACGTCATAACAAAATCCTGAATTATATAATAGTGTGGGGGCATGTGACATAAATATAGCTCATAGACACCAGAGAAAAGGTTGCAAAATGTATTTAAATCTAAAAATTGTATTCAGGCTTATTTTCCTGGATTCTTATTTGTCATTTTGTTTCCTCTTTTCAGACAGGTTCCCATGTAGCCCAGGCTAGCCTTAAATTCACTGTGTCCCTGAGGATGACCTTGAATTTCTTATCTTCCTCACTCTATTTCCTAAAGGCTGGGACTCCAGGCATATGTCACTGACCTGGCTTATGGCAATGCTGGGGAACAAACTCAGAGCTTCATACATCCTATGAATGTAGGCAAGCCCTCAACCAACTAAGCTACAACCCACCCCATTTTCTGGGTGTTGTTTTTGCTTTTTACTATGTAGCTCAGGCTGGCCCGTAGCTGTGGTAATTCTTCCCAATGGCAGGGATAAACTGATGTGTCCCAACACACCTTATTTCCCTGTTTTACGGTAAATTCTCTTCAAGTGTGTCTTCTGTCTGTTCTTAGGAAAGGGATTAAAATAAAGAACAGCCTTGCATGTTTCCCTTTGCAGATCCCAGGGAGACTGCCCCAGGTGCTCAAGGCCATCAGAGTGGGTGGGCATTTGCAGAGTGTCAGGATGCCCTGGGGTTCAAAGTCTGGGGCTCACCTGAGCTGGAGTAGTGATACAGCTCTGTGTAGGGCTCAATGTGCACTGAAGAACCATAGGGGATCTGTGGCACTCGGCCGTCTAGTTCTGTGTTGATGGTCAGGTGTCCGTGTTCGTCAATACCACTGAAGTGCTGCTTCAGGACCAGCTTGCCCGGGTGCCCCAAGAAGGTCACCTCGGCTTGTCGGGTGAACTCGCCCCCTGGAAAGCAAGACAGGCCTGTCACTCTGTCACCTGGCAAGTGTACCCTCCTGCTGGCTCTAGGTTCATGGAGAGGCAGGAAGAGAACTCTTCTACCCTAGCTGGTTGAACTAAGCCAGACTCAGAACTAGAAATATTGTGTGTTATTTCTCCTATACAGAATCTAGATTGAAATTTACATATTCATTATTATATATTTAATTATATTATAATTTGTAGAACATATAAAGTGGAAAGGAGAGTATGAGAAAGTAAGAAAGGATCTAAAGGGAAGAGGGAAGGGAACAAGAGAGGGAAAAGGGACACATGTAAAATGAAACAGAAGATAGGAGTAATTGGAGGGAGAAAGGGCAGAGGGAAGGAGGCCTAGGGAGGAGGAGGCAGCGTTAATGTGCCCAGCCCAGGACATTGGGTGCAGGTCCTGGAAATGATGATGGACTCTGTACTGGCCAGTTTCATGTCAACTTGACACAAGCTGGAGTCACTGGAGAAGAGGGAGCCTCAATTGAGAAAATGTCTCAATAAAATCAGACTTTAGGTAGGCCTGGAGAGTATTTTCTTCTGAAGGTATCTGAAGATACAGAGCTCCAAACCCATTCATTCTCTGACCTTCCCCATGACTGTGTAGCCCATTCAGTTTAGTTGGGGGATCAATTACCAGTGATGCTAAACCCATTCTTGAACCCATTCTGCTCCACTGCAAACATCCATCCAATGATGCCTCCAATGGGTGCCAGGGGAAGCAGAGAATACCCAACAGTTTCAGGAATGGTGCTGATGGCTGTGTAAGAGCGTCCATGGTTCATCACCACATAGGAGTGTAGGTCAGTGTTCTCAAACACCACGGGCACCTGGCTGTTCCCCACGAAGATCCTTCCCTTCACCTTGCCATTGACCCGCTGTGGGGAACCTGGGCCAGAAACAAAGGGAGAAGGTTGTAGTGAGATATCCACCCCACCCACACCTATAGCACTGACTACACCCATTTGATGGCTCAGAGGTGATGGAGGACAGGACTAGATCTGGGGTCCCCGACCCCAGCGCGCTCTCTTGCTTCTGGTGGGGTCACAGAGAACAGCCTGAGTGGATCCTTAGAGCTGGAACCTGAGACGGTGACCCGCCTCTTGTGTAAGTGCATTCTCCCCGAATAAACTTCACTTAACCTGTACTGAGTCTAGTGAATCCTGATTCCCACGCAATAGAAGGTGAAGATGGTTCTCTCCTTCCTTCCAAAGAGAAGAATGTGTCTATTCATTAGGAAAGCAAAGAGATGGCAATGCTGTGGGAAATGGCTTTTGGGGAAATGAAAATACTTGTACCTGTGATTGTGTGCCATAAGCCCTGGATATCCCAATGCTCCTGTTGCATGTGGTGTTAATGGGCAGAACGCTAGGTACCTACCACTGTGCACCAGGGGCCTCAGGGATCCCAACACCTCCCCTTTCTCCCACGGGACTGATAATGGACACCCATAACTGTGTATCACAGACATTAGGAGTCCCAGCACTGCACAGACGTAAGGACCTGAGTCAAGACCCCAGCACCCATATAAAAAGCCTGCTGTGGCAATGTATGCTTGTAACCTCAGGACTAGGATGGAGAGGAAAGACAAGAGGATTCTTGGGGCTTGCTGGTCAGCTGGACAAGCTAGCTGGTGTCCTTGAGGTTCAGTGAGAGACCCTGTCTCAAAAAAGTAAAGTGAACAGCAATAGAGGAAACCATCTGATGTGGACCTCCAGCCTCCACATTTGTGCACACACTAACACTACACATACATCACACACACACATGTGCATGCACACAGAGAGGCACATGAATTATACTGCAAAATAAGAATAGAAACTGAAGGAAGATGCAAATAAAAAGCCACCTTGCACTGCTGAAGTTTGATGAAGAATTACATTTTTTGAAGGTTTTCCCTTTTTCTTTTGGCATGAGATAGAATGAGGGCTTTGCCTCTGAACTCCACCCCTGGCCCTCTATCAACCACCTATGATATATCTTATTTATTTTCCTAGATTGTGAATGATCAGGAACACTACACCTCCACTCCTTCCTCCTATGAAAATGTTCTTGGGAGTCGTCTATGCTCCCTGGAGAGCTGCTAAATAAGGTCACTGACCAGCCAGGACATTTCTGACACAAAGTAACTTTGTACACCCACTATGTCATTACACTGGGGAATGCTGTGACCCCTGCAGGCTAATGGTAAAAAAAAAAAAAAGAAAAAAAAATGCACTCCAAGAACAATACAGAAACCAGGAAGGAAACCAAGTTAAGGAAGCCAAATCAAGTGCTTCCATCAGACTCTAAATTAGCTTTTTTCCCCCTTGTTTTTTGAGTTGGGGGGAGGGGTTTCTCTCACTCTGTAACTCTATCTGGCCTCAGAACTCTCCCTATAGCCTAGGCTAACCTCAAATTTACAGCAATTCCCCTGCCCAAGTCTCTTGAGTGTTGGGATTATAGGCACGAGCCACCACGCCTGTGTAAAGAATATACTCTTCTTTTTAAAGCAGCAAGAATCCAATAAATATTTAAACCATAAAGCAATTACAGGGTGTGCATAAAATATCAAAATGTGTGGCCGAACAGTTTGTCATACCTGAGCTCAATGCCAAAGTTTGCTCAGCATTTTCAGCTCTGATATTCGGCAGAGGGAGTTAATGAGGGGGCTCTTAATATTGTTAAGTATGCTTTTGGACTGAGGGTATGGCCCAGTTGGTAGAGTACTTGCCTGGGAAGCACAAGGACCTGGGCTCAATACCCAACACCTAGAGATTTAGAAAGGAAGAAAAGAAAGGAGGGAGAGGGAGAGGGAAAGGGGGAGAGAGATGGAGGAAGGAAACAACTATACTTCCGTGTGGATTTTGGAAGCTTCTGCTAGGGTGAAAAAGTATAAAAGCCAAGCCTGGAACAAATACTCAAAAGCACCCCACCCCTGGGGTGACAGGATTTGGAAGAAAATAGGAAACAGTTTAAAATTAAAAACATTCTCCTAAATTAATATGACAGCTAAACTGCTTGTTGATTCATTGCTGAAGATAGATGAAAATAAGACAAATATCACTTTACTTAATTATGACCCAGAAGGAAACGTGTGTGTGTGTGTGTGTGTGTGTGTGTGTGTGTGTGTGTGTGTGTGTAGGGGAGGGGCAAATTAAAACAACTGACTTCAGACTTCAGGATGGCTATGACAAGGAATCTGGAACACAGCACACATCTCTCGAATTAGATTTTAATTAGCAAGATTTTTCAAAGCAACTCAAATTCCCCATTAAGCGAATATAAAGGTAAGTTGTGACAAGTGAGGCATTTGGTGGCATCCGAAGGGACAAAAGCCAAATATAGTAAGGTTTTGTCACTTATTTTCATTCTAATTTAGAGCCTCAAAAGTAATGGCTGTCATAAGGACCCTAAGACTTACATAGAAGATTCCTCTGACTATGTGGGGCAGAGGGACTAGCCAGTCCCCTTTGAGGACAGAGGTGAAAGTGACCTCAGCATGGAATTCACTTCAGAACTGGATGTGTACTGAGTTTGACAAGCCAGAACTAAGGACAACACCCCATCAGCCTCACCTCAGGCATGCTGGTGTCTGGGGAGCGGGGAGGTGGAGGGAAAGAGAGAGAGAGAGAGAGAGAGAGAGAGAGAGAGAGAGAGAGAGAGAGAGGTTTACAAGCAATGCATGCAGAGCTAGAGCTCAAGCCAAGTTGGAAACGCACTGTAGACCCAGCACTCTACATGTGGACAATCTCAAGTTTGAGGTCAGCCCAGGCTATGTGACAAGATGCTGTCTCAAAATCAAAGAAACAAAGAACTGAGAGGACTCCAAAGACAAAGGTATGAGTGAAGGAAAACGAGGGAGAACAACTCCTGGTCCTGGCTGCATCGTTTCAATGCTTGGGTCTTTCTGTTGCAGTCAGGGGACAGTTGTGAAGAGAGGCTCCTTCCTGGTGATTGTCATCTCAGAAATGGAGGAGTAGAGCTCCTTCCTGGTGACCGTCATCTCAGAAATGGAGAAGGAGTACAGGGGAACAAGATAATGTGCCATATATCAGAAAAAAAAAGGACATCCTGGGAGGAATGCCCACCAAAGAACGTAACAGAGAGGATATTATTAAAAACTGCATGTTCCAGAGATCAGATCAAGGACCATGTCTATAAACAAGCACCAAGACCCAAAAGGCATTCCTTTCCTTTTCCCCAAAGCTGAAAATGCACAGGAAAAGTACATTACCTTCTGCTACACACTGCCTGCCGTTGCCCGTGTAGTTGGCCACGCACCTGCAGCAGAAGCCAGTAGCATAGTCTCTGCACTCTGCATGCACGGAGCACTGGTGTCTATTGTTGGCACACGTCTGCTGGGAACCTATGTTGTAGCTGAATACTGTTTGGAGAAAACAAAAGCAAACCTGTGAAAGTTTGGCAGGTTCTCAGCTGGGAGGCATTTCCACATAGGTGCCCATGAGCCAACGGGACTCCCATCTACCTAAGACCTTCAAGGAGCCAAGCTGGCCACAGCAGTCAAAAGTCCATGGCAAGAGTGTGGCCATTGTATAGAGATGGGGCTCCATTACTCAGACCACTGATGTAAACAAGTCTTGAAGAAGCTGAGAAATCATTAAGTATAAATGCTTAAAAACTGCCACAATGCAGTATATTAATGTCAATTAACACAGGGGTACTCTTGCTCAATATCAATCTTAGGATGGTACCCATCTAATATGGTCAGAGGAGCAGCTTCATTTACTTAGGAGCCTCAAAAGATATGTTTACCCCAACCCCATTTTTGTTTTGTTTTGTTTGTTTTGTTTTATTTTGTTGAGACAGAGTCCCATGTATCCCAGGTTACCCACAAACTCACTAAGAACTGAAAATGATCTTGAACTCCTGATCCTCCTATATTCACCTCCTGAGTAGAGGGATCACATGCCTGATATATGGAGAGCTAGGGAATGGAACTCAGGGACATGAATTTGAAAGGGTCTAGTGAGTGTTTGGAGGGAGGAAAGAAAAGGAGAAATGATGTAAGTATTTTATAATCTCAATAAAAATTAAAAACAGCCAGTCAAAAACAATCCATTGATTATACCTCTTTTAAGATCCTTTGACCCGAGAATCAAAAAAGAATCTCTAGTTTAAATTTCCAGCACCCAAGTTTGTTTTACTAGAACTTCAAACCAGTCCATTAAATTAAATCATCTAACTAGAGCAAATACGTTTGGAATAAAATTCAAAATCCCTAGGAGTGAACTCCTATAGGTAATAATAATCCTGTTTATAACTGACTTTATGAGTGAAGCTCAAAATAACATTTATCCTCAGGTAGATTGTTTTGGCTCCAGCTACTTGGAATTTCCAGTGTGTATAAAATGGCTGGTGACCAAAGTCAAGGGCACCTGAGTAAACTTGAGAGTTTTCTAATTGCATAAGTTCAATCCAGGAATCCCCCATTGGTAGGTCTGCTATGTTCTGTATATATGAGGCCAACTATTTAAACAACACCAGAATGTTATTGTAAGCCTCAGACCATTGATGTTTCTAATAAACACAGTGAAATAACTGGGAAAAGGGACCAAAAAGAAGCCATCTGTCACAGATACATTTTGAGTTCAAGTCTAGGCTTTTGCTACCATTTGTTGTTGAGGAGTAAATAAATATGACAATTTCATAAATGATAAATTTCAGATACTTAGGAAGGCTAGGAAAAAAAGATGAAACTCAAAACTTAACACCTATAAGCAAACATACTCTAGCAGCATCAAAGGTTCTGCTGGCCAAGAGGTGAGCAGAGCCTTCCCCTACCCAAAATCCAGAAAACAATGTTCATGAGGTGTAAGACTGTAACTCATGAACTCATTTTTCCACGAAATAGCATCTCATTCACTTCTGTGCCTCAGTAGTGAGCACACAGCCTCATAAATGCCCATCTTTCCCATTTTGGGTATTCAATATGGACAGACAGTAATGACTACTGCCATGATGTACATCAGAACAAGGACAGAGAAACAAAAATGAGTTAGTAGGTGGAATGGAGTAGATGTTTCCAAGTCTTACAATAACCTCTTAATAGAAAGAGTAAAGTGTCCTATGAGACACATTTAAAGATTCTAACGCTTCCATTTATTTGGGTCTTGGTGGGGCTAGAGAGATGGCTCAGTAGTTAAGAACACTTGCTGCTATTTAAGGACTCAGGTTCGATTACTAACACCTGAATGGTAGCTCACAACCACCTGAAATTCCAGTTCCAGGGGATCTGATGACCACTTTTAGACTCTATGGGCACCAGGCAAGAGCATGGTACACATACACTCATGCAAGTAAAAGACACATTCACCGAAATAAAAAATAAATAAATTTTCTTAAAATGAACTTCAGTGGGTGTCCTAGTTTTCTTCATGTTGCCATGATTTAAAAAAAAAAAAATCTGACAAAAAGCAACTTAGGGGAGAAAGAGGTTTCTCTGGCTTGCATACCATTGTGCAAGGCACATGAAACAGTCAGTCACATCACAGTCACAACCAAGAGCAGAGAGGAATAAATGAACAGGTAGCTACTGCTCAGCTAGCTTTCTCTATTCTTCTACAATCTAGTGCCCAAAACTATGAAAGGGAGCTCTTGACTCTCAGGCCGGGTTTTCCCACATCCATCAAGGCAATCAAGACAACCCACCACACACATGCTCACAGGTCAACCTGATGGAGACATCCTTCACTGACAACCCACCACACACATGCTCTCAGGTCAACCTGATGGAGTCATCCTTCACTGACACTCTCTTTCAGGGTGATTCTAGGTTGTATCGAGTTGATAAATAAAACCAGCCATTATCTGTCAGTCTCAAGAAAAAAGCAAGAGTATTTTGATAATGTCCTCATAATACTTAAAGAATGCTCAAGTAATTTTCCTCAAATTGAAGGAAACACTTGATACAATATGGTTGATTAGAATATATTGTGTTGTGCCATGCATGTATGATGACTCATGCCTTTAATCCCAGCATTCAGAAGGCAGAGGCAAGCAGATCTCTGAGTTTGAGGCCCGGGATACACAGAGAAACCAAACCCAGAAGGAAGAGGAAGGAGTGGGAGAAGGGGAAGAAGGAGAAAAAGAATATACCACATTATATAAAACTGCCTTTTAAGGGGATTCGGGGTGTGTGTGTGTGTTCTTTAGAAAGCAACCCTGCAACTGACAGGAGGAAAAATAATCAGCTGTTTGAATTCCAAAACCAAGAGGAAAAACTGTGGGAGAAAAGCTGCATAAGAAGCCAAAGGAACTTCTAGAATGTTTTTTCAGGTGGGTGAATATATCTCAGAAGTCACAAATAAGAAACTTGAGTTTCAAAATATTCTAGTCTCTCCCTCCTTCTCTTTTGGTTTTTAACACAGGATTTTACTGTATCTCAGGCTGTCCTGGAACTCACTCTGTAGCTAGAAACATTGATTCTCCTGTCTCAGCCTCTACAATGTTGGGCAAACAGCACCCAACAATGACATTTTAAAAGAAAAAATCATTAGCCAGATTATGGTAGTGCAGGGCTTTAATTCCAGCACCCGGGAAGCAGAGGCAGCAGAATCTTCATGAGTCTGAGGCTAGCCTAGTCTACATTAAGTAACAGGTCATCCAAAGCTACATAAATGAGATACTGTCTTGTAAAAAAAAATACTAATACGCTTATTTATTTGTTTGTGTGTGTTTTGTTTGTGTGTGTATGCACACATACATGTGTGTGGCAGTCAGAGGACAGTTTGGGGGAATCATTCCTCTCCTTCTACTATGTGGACTCCAGGAGATCAAACTTATGACATCAGCACCTTTACCTACTGAATCATCTCTCTCTGGCCCCAAGTCTCTTTGAAACAGAATATATTATGAGGAATCTTGAAATGTAGCATAACCCTACTGTGTCTAGAACCAAAGTTCTAATCCTAAAAGATTACTAGGCCACTCAAAAGCCACTGGGCCTATGCAGTAATTGATTTTCAGTGTGAGCACACAGTTCCTGCTCCCTCAGGTCATCTGTTTCCTACAAAGCCACCTCATCGGCACATGACCCACCCTACATTAGCCAACTCCTGTCTAGAAACCCAAGCAGGCAAGAAAGGTTACAAACTGTAAAATAGATGTCTTACCAATTCCTGTTTCCTCTACTTCATCCACATCAATAACCTGAGGGTGCTGCTGGTGAAACCTCTCTGCTGGCAATTGGAAGGTCCTGGTTCTCTCAGTGGGGATCCCATGGGGTCTTTCTGTAGCCTCATAGCTAGGAGAGAGGACCCTGGGTACATCGTGTGGGTGGGTGTTTCCCCTTCTTGGACTAGGGGATGGAAAGGGTTGGGTGGCCATATCCTCCAGGCCTAGGTGAGAGGTTGCCAGGTCATACTCTTCATCCTCATAGTCTGATCCATCGTCATCCAGGCCTAGGTTCACATCTGCAGACACCACACCCTTGGCAGTAGCAGGACTCCCGATCTCAAACACCCACACACCCTGGTGTCCAGCGTTGCTGCTCCTAAAGGCAAGGAAGACATCTTGAGAACAGCCCAAAGCCCACAAGTAGCCCCCATTGACCCAACAGGCAGGAAGTGCTCAGGTAACATGTATCCATCTGAAACCCATAGCATGTGATATCCTCAGCAAGGTTGGTGTCCAGGAGGGCAGTATCTGCCATGCATGGTCATCACAGAGCTCAAACAGGCAGGGATTATTTTGTGAGAATGAGTCTAAATAGACATAAAGAGCTTACCTTCTAGTGCCATCCTAGGACACCAAGGTCTCTCGATGTCACCAGTTCATACTATTCACTGCTTACGTGTCCCATCACATGAACTCAGGTGACTAGATTCATTCCCCACTATTGTCTTTTCATTGCATGGAGTAACACATATTTGTTTTTGTTTGTTTGTGTTTTTGTTTTGTTTTTTGAGTTAGGGTTTCTTTTTATATCCCTGGCTGTACTGGAACTCAGTCTATAGACCAGGCTAGCCTCAAACTGTTCTGTCTCCTGAGTACTTGGATCAAAGGCACATGCCATTGTGACCAGTTAACATATTTGTATACACAGAGAAAATACAGTAGATAGCCCGGAGGTGGTGGTGCACACCTTTAATCCCAGCACTTGGGAGGCAGT